TGCGATAGCGACTATTATTATTATGCCATAAGATCGGTTCCTGACTCGGAGGAAGAAGGTGGTAGATTGTCATCGTCGCCATCCGAGCTCTTGCAACTGTCTCGAACGCTGTCGAAGAGTAAGACACGAAGCGTGGTACCGATGACATACTTGGCTTGCAAAGAAGCCGTGTCGCCACCACCGATCCGGAAGAAACGATCGATTCTGGCGAATAGCTTCTTTGCACATTATCTATAACAAAACTGCGGTTCACTTTAAGACAGTCCTATACATACTCATACGTAATCGCAATATTTTTATTTCCTTTTTTTTTCTTTTTGGGGGTACTCATATTATGGAAAGATGAGTTGGACGGACTAATATTGGGTGAGTAGGTTGGAGTATTATGGGGAGATTGATGCGGCTTCCTGGAAGCGCACCTTGGGAATTCATAGAATGATTCTGATATAAAGGACGGTCTCGTTTGTGAATGAGAGAAGCTCAATTCATCTTTTCTCCGGCATGCTTCGCTACAATATAAATTCTCTAAAGCAAAAGTTTTCTGATCACATACAGGACACCATGAGAGGTCCATCTTTTTTATTTGGAATATACTGTATATTCAGAAGAATACGAAAGTGGATATTAAGTAGCTTCTATCGTTATCGTTGTCGTTACCGGTGCTGCCTGAGTGATTCAGAGAAATTTTCATTAACCGTTCATTGAACAATGAGTGTACTGACTTCGCAGGGTTCCTTCTTTTCTAGATAAAAACGGCTTTGTTAGAGAAATGCGTTAGGGTTATATACTCGATTTTTTTTTTGTGTAATTACAATAAAATTAATATTTAAGGGTGTGTGAACGTAATCTATTTTACGAGTTCATTTATATTACCCAAAGAGTATATCATGAAGGTCCTCCCTCGCCTATTGAAGCTAACACTGATCTTCTCTTTTCCCATTACGTAATAACAGGTCTTTCCTTTATACATGCCAATGATCTGCCCGCTCGCTCGTCATGCATGTAAATATTACGTCGGTAATTCGTTTTTCCTCGAATTGCATTATACCTTGTGGCGTCGGATCTAGATCTGGATGAGAAACGTTGTATAGTTTAATTGGTGAAAACAGTAGAATTGAAGAGAGAGACACAAGGTTAGCCTTTACACATACAATCATCATTCAATCAATTGCCAAGATGATATTACATGATATAACGAATTCTATTTTTATTTGCAGCATATGAGGATGAGAACAAAGAATTTTAAGGGATCAACCACCGAAGATGGAAAAGATTTTGACGGTAAAACATGAATATCACGGATACCCGGCGGTCTGTTCACCTTTAGTCTTCAGGTAACCCTTCAGGAATTTTCCAGGTTTCCATAGCTTTTCCGAACAACCTATAATATCGAAAAAACGTTGGATAGAAGAAACGCACTGACGAAGATCTCAGCAGATCCTTTCTTAAACAGATAAATGAGTCTTTTATATACGTGAAACAAAAATGAAAAAATTCTTACAAATTCAAATTCAAAGATCTAACTGAAACGGTGGCATTGTCACATCATGATCGACCTCGGTTTACACAATCTTCGAACTTGTATTTACTCCACACATGAGATTTGAAAATCTTCACACGGGGATCCACACTTATCATATGACGTGACTCAATTTTCGAGGATCACGGGATTTTGAATTTCCGAAATGAGTAATGTTTGTGGGGAAATAAGAATACATGCGTAGCTGTGGGGAAAAATCTTATGTGTAAATATTTCTTATCACCTGAGATTTATAATGTAAGCAATATAAATTATTTTTTTGACTGATTAATCATGAATTTAACCTATTTGTAATGTGTGCCACTTTTTACTTTTTTCATTATCGATTTTCAAAAAAAAAAAAAAACTATCGCGACAAAATTTTTTAGCCAATATCGCGTCATGGTGAGAAATAATAAAACCTGAAACAAAATTGTATGGCCATATCTAATCTAATATTTTTTTTTTACCATCGAATAAATATTAATACTGTATATGATAAAAGCATAAAATATATTGTACATATTTAAAAATGGTTTTATTTAGAAAATACTGCAATTACTCATGAAAACTCAATGTATAGGTCCATGGAAACAGAATTAAAAATTCAAATTCAAATTTCTCTTGGCATTCCACATGTATGAAGTTTTATCGAAATCAAAAGGTGTATTTCAATAAATAAGATGTCCGTGCTTATAATAACATAACGATCTGGGAACCAATCGAAATGCTTAAAACGGACAGATATGGTTTCTAATCGTGTTTATTCATTATATTGGTTTTAGATATTATTGCTTTAGATATTATAGGTTGATAAATTTTTTTTTGTGATTTACGCGAAGAATCCGTTTTTGATCTTAAAGTCATTCCTTTTATTTCCTTTTATTATACTATAGATTCTCAAATTATTATTACAGTTTATCTTGATAAACTTTTAACCATTAATTATTCTTCTAAATTGTTTTTTGTAATTATTAGATTATGTAAATAAATAAATAAATAATCAAAATATCAAATTTTTATTTTTTTATTTTTTTAAAAGATAAATTAAAAAAAAAATTTTTTTTTGATTTAAAAATAAAAATTTTGAAATTATAAACTCATAATTATAAAATCTATTAAAAACTTATTATTATTGTTGTTGTTATTACTATTATTGTTATTATTGCTATATTGTTTAAAAGTTTATTAGTACTAAAACAGGTTTAATTAATATTAATAATAATAAAAATTATTTAAAAATATTTTAATAACAATAATATATACTATATATTAAAAATCAATAAATAAAATTATCTTATTTAATATTATATAACATAGTATAATACATTAAATTGTATATGTATATAAATTAAAACCAATCCAAAAATAAAAATAAATAATTTAGATCTATAAATTTATAGTATAATAGTTAATACTTTACAGATTAAATCATAAGATATTAGTTCAATCCCATATAAAGATAAATGAACAGAATTAATATGTTATCTAATACTATAACCAGTTATATACTGTTTTTTATAAGAAGTTATTTCATATATTAATTCAATAGATGTTGAGATTATAATTTTCTTATTAAGATATAATGATATGACAATCATCTAAATGGTATTACAATGATTATTTAATAAAAAAAAGTTTATAAAACCACCTATATATTTGAATATATATATTAGGCTATATTTTATCTTAACCAATTCCAAACCATCAATTTCTTTTTCCTATTAACTATTAAATAAGGAAGTTTTGATAAAAAATACTATATTAACACTAATATCTTATGTAATATAATTACCTAACAGCTTATCATATACTGTATATAAAAGTTATGTCCTGTTTAACATTTATATCCTAAATTTGACAACTTAAGTTAATCAGTTTTATAATTAATATATCTACTAAAAAATTAAGAAACCCAAAAACTTGCTTAGTATAGCTTATATATTTCTTAAGAAGTCATATTTCACTTGGCTACAAAAGCCCTTATATTTGATAATTAGAGTTAATCAGCAAATAAAAATTGAAGTATTTATTAAAAAATACATATATTATGTTAAAGCCTTTCTATTATATTAGTTACATAAGTGAAAAGATATAATATAATAAATAACTTAAATAAATAATCAATAATATTTATTGTTTTTATATAAAAATTGGATCAATAAATTAAATAGTTTAAAAAATAATGATAGGATTTCCATCTTCTAAATAAGTTCCTTTTAAAAATATAAATTTATTTCAAGAGTATTATTAATATTGTTAGAATAATAAAGTAAAATAGATTAATATTTAGTTATAGTTTAACATTACAAATAATATTTGATATAATTGTGATATTATATATATATCAATAAAATAATTAATATCTAATATCTATTCTATTATAAAAAAAAATAAAAATAAAAATAAAAATAAATAATTTGTATACAATAATATTTTAATAATAATTGATTATAATATCAAAAAAAATTAATAACAAAAAATAAAATAATAATAATAATAATAGAAAAAATAATAAAAAAATTAGTTTAATATAATATTTAACTTATTACAAATTACATATAAAAGATATTGTTTTTTTTTTAAAATATATATCTTATTATATATAATTAAATAAAAAAATAATATTTACTTATATTTAAAAAAAAAACAACTTAGTATAAAAATCTAATAATTAATTAAAAAAAAAAAATTATATATACTATATTAAAAAAAAAACTAAAATTAGAAAACATGTAATAAATAATGACATTTTCTGCTGATCCCTTTGCCAATTCAAAAAACAGACGTTCTCAAAAATATTTCTTTATTTTTGATAATAAAGTCTACACATTTTCCTTAAAAACATTACTCCCTAAAGGCAAGTGCCTTCTCTACTTGTTTACTCTTTCTTCTTCAAAAAACTTTGAATATTTCAGTAACAAAATAAACAAAACTTTATCTATTTTGTCTATGGCAAGAACACATTATTGGGAAGAAGAAACTTGTAAAAAAATACCCTCTATTACTTTCTTCTTAAATCAAGAATTTCAGAAAATAAATCACTAGTGAATGCATTTCTCAAGACCCATAAGAATCTTATATCCACTATAAGCAAACACCTTTTGTCCAAGGTGGATGAATAAGCTAATTGAGCTGACCAGTGAATGTATTCACTGTAAGCAAACCTTTGATCCAGGCAGATGGATAAGCTGAAAAAATCCAGGTGTATGAATCTTTTTTACCATTCATATATGTCTGGTAATTGGCACTTTCAAGTGTATTCAATTTTTCTTGGTTTTTCTAAGGAATTTTGCCTACCTCAGTTTAACCCTGAATTTTCTGTTACACTGAAAACTTTGGATGGTAATTGGCTGAAATCTTGGATTGGTTGATTAGTAAATAAAAGAAACATAAACAAGACATGTACCTATACATGCTCCACATCATACCACATTATAACCGATAATATAATTGGATAAAGCGAAAGAGCAAGGCGTCGATAGTGTTACAAATCATTAGTTGGAAAGTTTGGAATTAACCAATCAGAGTATAAGGATTTTTAGTTGCAACTAGTTAATTATAATTAAAACAACTAATCGATTGGAAAAATTTTGACCAACTAAGATTACTAGGCATCAAGGTGTTCTCTTATCAAAAAATGTTTGAAAGTCTTCCCCTTTCCCTTTTGTGCTGGTTTCTTTTCTCCTCAAGATCAAAAAAGGCTCTCATTAGGCTA